GACATGTCGACGCATATTTCTAAATTGGTCAATTTAGGAAGGAAACTGAGAGTAGCGGGTGAACCAGTTACGGATAACATGGTTATGACAAAAATACTAATGACATTACCAAAAGAGTATAATCATTTTTACAGTGCTTGGGATTCAGTCCCAACGGGAAGTAAAAATATAAATAATTTGACTAGTCGATTGTTGATTGAAGAATCGCGGGTTATCCAGATCAAAGGTGAAGTTGGTGAACAAGAGAAATCGAGTGCATTTCCGGTCAAATTTCAAAACAGATCTGATGGAAGAAACAGCAGTCATAATTATGGGAAAGGTAAAAATCAATTTACTAATAAAAGTAATATTAAGTGTTATTACTGTGGTAAACTAGGTCATTATAAAAGAGACTGTAGAAATTTTCTACATAGTGTACACAGTGGTAAAACCGGTACTATAGAAGCGAACTTGAACGCATTCGTAAGCGAGTCAAGAATAAATAATATTGCAACAGATGAGTGGGTACTAGACTCGGGCGATTCGGATCATATGAGCGCAAATCGAAAGTGGTTTTCAAGTTATGAACCACTGGACAACACTCAACAAATCACTATAGGTGATGGAACAAATCTGTATGCAGCAGGAAGAGGTAATATTAATATATTATCATACGTAAACGGTAATTGGAATAAAAATTACATGGCAAACGTGTTGCACGTGCCGGGACTAAAATTTAATTTATTTTCATGCGGTGTCGCGATGGATAAAGGATTAGTAATGACGTCAGAGAGTAAGACATGTATGTTAACTAAACAGGGGAAACCCGTATGCTGAGGTAAGAGATGCGGAAGGTTGTTTGAGTTAAACATCAAGGTCGAAGTACCGACAAACGGGTACGCGACTGTAGCTGTCGAAAACAGGTTGTCTGTTTGGCACGAGCGCATGGCACATCAGAATTTACAGTACGCAAAAAGTTGTTTGACGAAACACGAAATAGTATGTTCAGCCAAGGACGACGAATTCATGTGCAGCAGTTGTATAATAAGTAAACAAAGTCGTAAATCATTTAGTAAAAGTAATACGGAGTATCACAATGTCGGTGATTTAATTCATGCAGACCTATGTGGACCAATGGAGGTAAGCTCTATAGGCGGTTCAAAATACTTCTTGTTATTCAAAGACGACTACTCGCATTATAGAACGGTATATTTTATTAAAAATAAATATGATGTTAAAAATATTTTTGAGACGTTCATAAAAAGTGTTGAAACAGAAACAGGTTCTAAGGTCAAAATATTACGAACGGATAATGGATTAGAATTCGTAAATAAAGAAATTACGGGTATTTTACAAAAACACGGGATTTGACATCAGTTAACAGTTCCCTACACACCACAGCAAAATGGAAAAGTGGAACGGGAAAATCGTACAATAGTAGAGTAATGATTTGTGCGAAAAATTTGGATGTATCACTTTGGGCGGAGGCGGTAAACACGGCTGTTTACACGCTTAATCGAACAGGAACCAGTTCAGTTAAAAATAACTCACCGTACGAGTTATATTATAAGGTAATGCCAGACGTTAAACACTTACGAGTTTTTGGTACTGTCGTATATACACACATACCAAAGCAAAAACGTAAAAAGTGGGACCCTAAAAGTGAAAAAGGAATATTTGTTGGCTATTCGGATAATACCAAAGGTTATCGTGTGTATTATTCGAAAACAAATAAAATTTCAATGTCTAGAGATATTATATTCGAAAACGAAGGTAATAAATTGGAAAATATAATTGCAGACAAATTAGAATTCACAGATACTCAGACTCAAATCGAGGACGATCCGGTCAAGGTCGAATTGACGACGGTCGACAACAGGAGTGGCATGGTGCTACGTGATCGGAATACATTAAAAGCGCCGATCAGGTATAATGTGTCGTCGTTCGTCGCCAATCTCGTTGAACACCTAAATCGTGATGAAGCGATAGCTGGCCCACAGAAAAACGAGTGGGAGCACGCTATGAGTGATGAAATTACGTCACTACACAAAAACAACACTTGGTCGCTAGTTAATTTGCCTCAGGGCAAGGTTGCATTACGTAACGCATGGGTTTTCAAGACCAAATATAAAAGTGACGGTAATATCGATAAGTTTAAGGCCAGATTGGTCATTAAAGGTTGTTCACAGAAATACGGTATAGATTACCATGAAACATTTTCGCCAGTGGTCAGATACGAATCAATTAGGGCAATATTCGCAGAAGCAGCTGTGGAAAAGTTAATATTACGACAATTCGACATCAAGACAGCATTTCTGTACCGAGAACTACAGGAAGAAATTTACATGGTACAACCACCAGGATACGAAGATGGATCGAATAAAGTATGTAAGCTTCAGCGTAGTTTATATGGCTTAAAACAAAGTCCAAGATGTTGGAATATACGCTTTAATAATTTTTTGAATGCATTTGGTTTACAATGTACCGAAGCGGATGCATGTGTATTCAATGCATATAATAGTAGAATTATTCTGGCAATATTTGTAGACGATGGTTTAATCGCTGCAGACAATGAAGAAATAATAAATAAACTTTTAACAAACTTGGAGAAAGAATTTGAGGTTAAAAAGGAAACTTAGATTATTTCCTAGGTATGCAGGTAAATATAATGAAAAATGGTTCATTATTTGTGAATCAGACAAATTATGCATGTAGCATAATTAATAAATTTAATATGTTGGACGCCAAGGAACTTTCAATACCAATAGACAAATCACATACACTTGAACAAAAAGAAGATAAGGAAATATTGAATGAAGATATTCCTTATAGGCAGGCAGTAGGTAGCTTACTGTTCTTATCACAGGTAACAAGACCAGATATAGCATATGCAGTAAACTTTGCTAGTCGTCACTTAGCAAAACCAACTAAAGCTCATTGGAACTTAGTAAAACGGATTATACGATATATCAAGCGCACATTTAATTATGGCTTGTACTTTAATAACAAAACAAAATTGTCATTAGAAATATTTAGCGATGCAGATTACGCAGGTGACATTCAGACACGACGTTCCACGTCAGGATTTCTATTCAGGTACGTTTCAAGCATAATTTCATGGACATCGCAGAGACAACATAGTGTGTCATTGTCATCGTCAGAGGCTGAATATATTTCGGCCAGTGAAGCTGTAAAAGGGATCATGTATATTACGCGGTTGATAAAAAGCTTATCAAAAACAGGTGATAAACAACCGGTATTATTCATTGATAATCAGAGTGCTATTCGTTTAGTTATGAATCCGGAGTTTCATAAGAGGACAAAACATATAAACGTACGATATCATTTCATACGGGAGAAATACGAAGAAGGACAGTTCCAACTACAGTACATTGGAACAGAGGACCAGATTGCGGACATTCTAACCAAGCCTTTGGTTAAGGAACGATTCGAGAAGTTGCGGTCAGCCATAGGAGTGACTACAATTAAAGAAATTATTAATTGAGGGAGGGTGTTGAAATATACAATTAATATTAGTATTCAAACCATGTAAACACACGTGCGTGTACAATGTCGTTTTCTAATAGATACTTATGCAGTTACGATATAGCTGTGTAACACCTTTACTAACGCTTTCTATATTATATACTGATACGGGATGGCCTCGATTGTTCATATAAATAGAGCCTTTGATGTATGTAATAATCACTTGCACAGACGCTGTCATACCGAGTGTACGCGGTGTGTGTGTATAGTCACAGTTTAATTGTCCAGTTGTACGTTATTATATATTATACTTATACATAATCATATTGTCTTGTTATTACTTATTATATTAATGCTAACATCATTAGTCCGTCAAGCTTCACTTTCAAAAACATCGATGTAATCGCATATAATTCGCTTGTAATACGCTTGTAATTCCCATATATATATATTTAACGGGGCGTGTGAAAAGCGTTTTCCGTTAATAATTATTAAATCATAGGGAAAAATTAAATTATACACGTATGTCGTATATACACGTACATGTATATATACGCGTACGGTCGGTCGGTCGCCGGCGTAATTTCTAAACGCGATTGCGAGGCTAACCGATTTCGGGGGAAAAGCGCATATAAACGGCTTCAAAAAGACTCGATTCGGGCACAAACGTGTGGGAATAGACGAAACGGTGGGAGAAAAGGAAAAAATCGGCATAAAGTCCGGTCGGGAGTGTATTTTTCGATCGACATTGCACGAATATAAAGTATAAACCGCACACCGGTGGCTTCAAATTAAGTATATAAAAGGGCGAAAAGGGTCGAAATCGTGTAAAAACAGCTAATTTTCCGAAAATCGGCCAAATGATAGAAAAAGAGGAGATAACAAAAAACTTTTAAAACCGACCGCCGCCACCAGTGGCGTATTTACGGGGGGGATCATTGGGTTTGATCCCCCCCCAAGGCTTGAGTTGAGTTTTTTTTTTTTTTTTTTTAAATCTAAATTAGACGATAGTCCGGGAGCCGTCGAAAGAGTGAGGACTGAGGAGAGCGCGCGAGCAGCTGCTGGTAGCTGGCGCGATCAGTGCTTCCAACCTCGCGCGTCCTTGAGAGGAAATATTGTGGTGTTCTATGACAATACCAAGGACGGGATGTGAATTTATCCACGTCCTATTCCACCTTAATAACGTATTTTGATAACGTATACAACAGTTGTATACAGTGAGTGTACATTGATATATAAATAGATATATATTGTTTCATACATATCTATATATTATATGATAGTGTACCTATAATTCTTGCAATAACGCGCGTTTTGACTTCCGATTCCGATCTTATTGTCGTGATATTCTCTAATTGAGAACTATTAATTTATTGTGTGTCGAACTGCCGTAACTTTATATTTAAGTATTAAGTGTTCTTGTTTAATGTCAATGTTTAAGCTTCTTGTAAATACAAGAATATAAATATTATTTAGTTTAATATTTCATACTAACGAAATCGTTAGTTATTGACTGTTGTTACTTGTTCATCATAATGCAACGAACCAAAATAACAAAGTTTTTTTTACAATCATCGGTGTCTGATTCAGTTCATCAACCAAAAGAAAATGATCATAATAATATGAAACATGATGTTCAGGTAAGTACTTTTTCTTTTGTATTTATGTCTACTTTTTAGTCACAACTCACAATGACTTATTTTGTCTATGCTAAATGCTCAGTGCCTCAGTAACTAAATAGCCCACTAAATGTATACTGTATACATGCATTACTTGACACCTTATAATAATATGCTTTACAATTCATTATTTTAATTTTTTTATGGCTAATTGCTTCGAAAAAAATTCATTCAGTTCTATTAATTACAAATTCATTTGCATGATTTATTGTTATTTATTTTATTTTTAAAGCTTTGTGAACTAGCTGTAGCCTGTATTATACAATAGTTTTAATTATTTCATAATTTATTTCTTATTTAACAGACAGAAAATGTTATTGATGTTGTTAATGGTTCTGGTTGTGATGATGTAAAAAAAGATGTCTCTGAAACCTATGAAAGTAATGATATTTCTTTGTTTTCAAATTTGAACCGTTCTCTGACAGATGCTGAAAAAATATTGGTAAGATCAGAATCATATAATTCAACAAGTGTATTAAAATTGGGTAGTTTTTCTTATAACAGAGTACCTAGCTCATATTTTGGTATTTATTTATTTTTTACTAGGTGTTGAAAAACATTTGGGTTCCTCCTGCTTATTATGAATTTCCTTTACTAGAAATAAACAAAAGTAGAAAATTGAAATTTCAAATGGCATGGCTACATTCATTTACTTGGCTTACATACTCTAAAATCAAACTAGGTGCTTATTGTAAATATTGCGTTATTTTTGCAAGGCATGGAGGTGTAGGAAACCAAAAGCTTGGGCAGCTTGTTATTAAACCATTTATCAACTTTAAACATGCACAAGAAGTAATTTATTTTAAACCTTAATAATGTCATTTTTAGTTGACTAAATTGTAATTTGGAATTTAAAGGTATTTCGTACTCATGCTAAATGTGAATATCATCTAAAATCAGTTATAGACGCTGAGCGTTTTTTGAATATATTTGAAAAGAAGGAAATTCCTTTAATACAACAAATTGATAGTGAACGGTAAATGCTTACTTTTAAATTAATGAGTAGAATAAAATATATTTATTTTTTGTTCTTATTTTATACAATGATAATTTTCATAGAGCTAAGCAAGTACAAGAAAATAGAAAACTACTTATTCCAATAATACAGTGCGTTATTTTATGTGGCCGTGAAGAAATACCTTTAAGAGGACACCGTGATTTTGGAACATTTAATATTGAAGGTTTGTACATTTTTATTGTATTTCAGTTTTAAATTTTTAATAATATTATTGATTTTTGTACTTAAAGATGAACAAAGTAATGAAGGTAACTTTCGAGCTATCCTTAAATATCGAGCAAAAGGAGATAAATATCTGAAATCAGTACTTGAAGGTCCAGGTAAACGAAACAAATACACTAGTCCTGGTATACAAAATCAGATAATTGAAGCTTGCAATAAACTCATTTTAAATAAAATTGTGGACAAAATAAATAAATCGCAATGTTTCTCAATTTTGGCCGACGAGACAACTGATGTATCTAACATAGAGCAGTTGTCACTTTGTGTTAGATATGTTGACAACAATAACATGCTAAATGAAGATTTTATTCAGTTTATTGCTATTCATAGCCTAACAGGTTTAGACTTGGCTACATCAATATTAAAAGGTATCTAGTTTGTAATTTATTTTATTTAATATTGAGTGTTTCAATAAATAACAATTTTTAGGTTTGAGTGATTGTGGAGTAAATTCCGAGTTTATGTACGGACAAGGCTATGATGGAGCTAGCAATATGGCAGGGCAATTTAAAGGTGTTCAAAAAATTATAAGAAATAAATACCCTAACGCTCTATACGTACACTGTTCAGCGCATTCCCCGAACTTAGCAGTTTCATCTTCTAGCAATATAAAACCAATTAGAAACTGTTTGGGAGTCATAGAAAAACTTCATGTTTTTTTTAATACTCCTAAAAGACACAATATTCTTTTGACTGAAATTGAAAAATCTGATTACACGCCTAATGTAAAAACTCTTAAAAGACTCTGTGCAACAAGGTGGATTTAGCGTTATGAAGCACTTAATGATTTCTGTGAACTAATAGTTTATGTTTATAAAGCTCTACATTTCATATCTATTGAATGGAAAGATTCATCTTCCACTGATGCAAATATGTTTTTAAAATGTATTCAAGATTCAGAGTTCTTGGTTTCCCTTTATGTTACAAAGGTAGGAAACTTGTCGACAAACAAACATTACATTAAGATAATTATTAAAAACTTATAAGATTTATTTTATTCTAGGTATTGTTTTCATATGGTTTGCCAGTATGCAAACAACTACAAAAAGAAAGAATAGATTTGAAGAAAACGGTTGATATTGTGGAAAACTTAATACAATCATTAATGAATGTTAGAGAAGATGCCGAACATGAATTTAAGAGAATAGTTGATGAAGCTCAGGTAATAACATTAGAATAATAAATAAATTTACTAAAATTTATATAATATATTTTAAAGTATACATTCATTTTTAATTATTTGTTTGTGTATTCATAGACAACGGCTGAATTAATTGGAACATCAATCTCTAGAAAAAGAATTACATCAAAGCAAACCAATCGAGCAAATCCTCAAAATTTAAAATCTACTGAGGATTATTATCGAGTAACTGTGTTTTTGCCATACATTGATAATTTCATTTCTCAACTGAAAGATAGATTTGTGAATCATAAAAACGTTTTAAGAGGTCTGAAAAATTTATATTTTTTTATTCTATAATTTTATATGCTTTATTTTAATTATTAAATCTTGTATACCTACATTTAAGTAGTTAAATGTATGTGATAAATTTCTTATTTAATTGTTTTAGGATTCGAGTGCTTATTTCATTCAGAATTTTCTAATGAAGACAGAAATGAATTTCAGCACCTTATAGAACTATATTCTCCTGCAATTGATAGGCGCCAATGTGCTTGCAGAACTGAATATGTGGAAATTAAAACTAGCCTCCAGTAGTAACGAAATAACTAAAACTGGGATAGAAGCGTTCCTTAACTGCGATGAAGACATTTATCCAAATATTAAACTTCTCTTAAAAATATTTGTGACATTGCCTGTGTCAACTGCAACTCCTGAGAGGAGTTTTTCTGGTCTTAAAAGGCTTAAAACGCATCTACGTAATACAATGAATGAGGTAAGAAACTAAGAACGTTAGACGTTTAGTTTTTAGAATTTTGTTTGGACTTATAAGTAATTAAAAATTTCCAGACACGGCTGAATGGATTGTCATTACTATCAGTTCATAGAAATATTGATTTATCCGCGGAAGAAGTCATAGACGAATTGTCCAAAACATCTAGAAAACTAGACTTTGTTTTGTAAAATAAAAATAAAAAAAATTGTAGTTTTATATTTAAGTATTTAAACTTAGGGGGGTGAGGGGGGCGGAGCCCCCCTCGAGTTGATAAGTACTGAATAAAATCATATCCCCCCCATGACAAAATCCTAAATACGCCACTGCAAAGGTACGCGATTGCCGATTGGTCGCGCTATAAGGAATCGACGGAACAAGGCCGGCGGGCTGGGGAAACAAAGCGGTGCTTCATTTTTTACGGCACGGGTTCGCTATAGCCGGCGCTTTCCTTTCCATTGGAACACTATATACAGCTGTCGTCTCAGTCAGCTGTTCTTCATTTTATAGTATTAGATGTATTATTTTTCCCTTTTTTTTTTATGTATAAATGTTGTTCGCCGATCGACGATACTTGAAGTCAGAAACGGGCCAATTCCGCCCATGCCCGACCTGGTGCTTTCGAACGCCACAAACACGTCTACGCATGCATGTTAATTTAAAAACCTTAATTACGAATCATAACTTATTATAAATTCAATACACATATATTTATGCTTATAGTCTATACCTGTGTATTATGTATTGATGCAATCAAAAAGAAGGCCATCATATGAATGTGTTATTATATACATAAAACAAAATATGCTGCAAAACCTGAACATTACGAGGATAATAACAAACTATGAATCGGCTTTAAAAGATACTCTGTTGTCACATTTTCCGCAAGCAAGAGCAGTTGAATGTTGGTTTCACCACAATCAAGCAAGTCTGAAATATATATACTTATGAGATTTTATATGTAACTCCTTGCTATATTACCTAAATATTTTTATTTTTATTTTATTTTCAAGAGTAATATTCTGAAAACTATAATATATATTTAAAATTAAATTAAAGGATGTGTCTGTGGTTTCATATAATATTTATCAATGTTAAATTATGATATTATGTATAATAAATGTACTAATATAAGATAGGTAATATTTAATATTAAGCATACACAATTTTATTTTGAATATTTTGATATTTAGAACAAAATTTATAATTTCCCAGAACATTATAAGTAGGTAGTACATATTATTAAAAGTATAATTTGTATAGGTATTAGGTACCATTACGTATAAATTAAACAATGTATAAACTATAAATACAAATTATATAAAATAGGTACCTACATATTATAATTACAGTTTATGTACATAAATTTCATTTATTTATACTATTTTTAATCTATTTAAAATATAATTAATAATATTTTATTTTTAATTAAATTGTGTTTTGTATAATAATTTGATTAACAAACAGGCAGTTTGGTGAAAAATGAAGAAGTTGGGGTATTTAAATTTAGTGAATACCAATGAATAGGCACTTAAATGCTTAAGATTGCTATTAAGCCTTCCACTCTTACCAGCTAACGACATTGAAAATGGGTTAAATTGGATTATTCAGTTTGCAAGAAGAAAAAATATAAATTTTGTCAGACTCTTTGATTATTATAGAAGGTAACTAACTATAATAAAAGTGATATAATATTTTACATAAACTTCCTTTTATTATTATGAACTTTCATTAATTATAGAATTGATAGTTATAATAATTTACATTAAAATAATATAATCTGGTAATTTTTAACTAATTATTTTAAACATTATTTTATATTTATAAATCTATTTAATCTTAGCTAATTGTCATAGATTTTGGATTCTACGTGTTGGAGTACTCACATTATCTGTGAATGGATGTCCAAGAAGGACAAACAATAATGTTAAGTCCTTCCACAAACCATTACAGCTGAAATGTTCTGTCTCTCACCCTAACCTATGGGTATTTTTGGGTCAGTATTTATTATTGTTATATTGATACTTTTAAATTAATAATTAACTAAATTAGAAAATATATTTTTTCAGAACAACTTAGCCATTTAAGTTAAAATTACCACATTATAATAGCTATCAGCTATCAAATGGATTACAACCAACCAAAAAACTTAGTGTTAAATTCTTGGCGAATAGTGCCAGAATACGTAGAGCCACAGAGGAATATGATTCACGTATAATTACATTGAGACAATTTTTAGTACGGTGTTCATATTCGATGGCAGCATAGTAAATGCGCCAAAGACTTTGGGCGTTAAGGTACGGTTTCCAAGCTGCGACTAGTCGTTGCGGCCAGCCGCAACGATTTTGCCGAACGATTGATCGTTGCGTGTGTACTGGTTTCCTACAAGACGACTGAATGCTGCGGCTGGCATTTATTTTCAGTTTAGCTCAATATTTCAATGTGCACACACGTATTTATTTAATTTGTCGTAACAAATCACTAAAGATGGAACAAGTAATTATAAATAACAATAAAATAATCATACATTTATTAGAAGAGGAGGAAGAAGAAGAAATAATGTATACTTCAAATGCATACAGGAAGCCAATAAGTAATTTATTTAAAACAAGAGAAAAAGAAGGCTTCTTTAAAGTTTTAATAAATAGCCACTTAAGAGAAAATAAAAATAAATTTCGCGAATTTTTTCGGCTAAATTATGATCAGTTTCATTTTATATTAGCATTAATAAAAGACGATTTAACATTACCTGCATCAAACAGAATAAAAAATCCAATTTCGCCCGATGAGAAATTAGCTGTTACTTTAAGGTAAATACGTAATTTTTTTATTAATCAATAATAATTATGGCACAATTGTAGTTTAGCTACCTATCGATTTTTATTAAATATATATTTTTTAAATGTTTGTTTTTGTATGGTTAATTTGATGGTACACGATGGTCATATGGAAGTTAACATTAAAAAACTTCAAAATTTATGTTTCCGAAAATCGTATTTAAAAAAAGAAAAGATACCTACTTAGAATTGAATATTTTCCAATTTGTTTTAGATTGTTTTAGAAAATCAAATTTGGTTTTTGGTGTAACTTTAAAACAAATAAATGTAGAAACATTAAATTTTGACTGGTTGTTTATATTTGCCTTTTCTATACACGATAACATTTTCAAAATATTTTGATTTATTTTGAACTGTTTAGGGACATTTTCATTTTCCATTTTTTTTTAGTTTTTTTTCTAAAAATATCAATAAAACTTTGTTTTTTGAGTAGAAATACTTGAAAATTTAATACAAGGTTCCTACTATATTGTTACAAAGGCAGATGAAAATATTAAAAATCCTTAGTCACAGTTTTTTTTATAAGCATTTAAAGTTCAAAAATTGAGAAAATATGAAAAAATCACGAAAATTATCAAATTATTTTGAGTTAAGAATTCGTAAAAATTTTTCTTGAAACGGCACTTAAAACTTGTAATTTGTACTATTATATATCTATGATAGTATCACGGTTTGTTGTTGATGTATAACGCGTTATAAGTACTTAATGGATATTGTGATAAGATTAATTTGGAATTTATTATAGGTACCTATGATAGGTCATTTTTTTTTTAATACCATAGATATGTATATAATATGTTTTAAACCTAGACTGACTTACCGTCTCCGCTCAGAATCGTTTTTCTTATACAATGATATTATATCATTGAATTCAAATTTAATACCATCCATTAAACAGTGACCCACTTGTAACCTACTGTACAGCAGAGCGACATCCACTTGCCCACCTTTTTTTAAATGTGTGGTTTTTAACGATCAATAGTTTGGTAAAATCAAAACTTACCTTTCATACATAATTTTGAAGTTTTTGCACGTAAATCTTGAAAAATAACCTTTTCAAATTTAATCTAAAAATTAAGTATGATAGGTAAATTTTGATTTTACTAATCTATTGACCGTTAAAAACCACACGTTTAAAAAAATATTCAATTCTTAGTATTTTTTTAAAAAAAAAATACGGGTAAACTAACGAAAAAACTGTAGGTACTTTTTGAAGTTCTTCACAGATAACTTCAAAACAAAGTTTGTCCGACCTTTTTTTTACATTCTTATAAAGCATGCAAAAACACATTTTAAAAAAAAAGTTAAAAAATTGATAGGTAGTCAAACTGAATTATGTCATAATTATAATAAATATATCAGTGGCGTTTCAAAAAAAATGTCTACAAGACAAATTTTAATTTTTTATTGTAACTTTCTGCAGATATCTTGCTACTGGGGAATCATTTCGGTCACTTTCTTTTGCGTTCAGAATTTCACATAGTTACATTAGTGTCATCGTAAAAGATACACTTTCGACGTTGAAAAAACACCTTATGCCAATTTTTCTACCCGATATCTCAACTATCGACTTAAATAAAAAAGCATCAGAGTTTTGGACTAAATGGAATTTTCCAAATTGCGTTCTAGCTATAGATGGAAAACACGTTAGAATTAGATGTCCAGAAAAAACAGGATCGCTGTTTTTTAACTATAAAGATTACTTCTCTATTGTAATGTTAGCGATGGTCGACGCCAACTATAAATTTATTGTTATTGATGTTGGTTCATTTGGCAGAGAAGGAGACAGTGGCATATTTTTAAAATCTGCTGTGGGTCAACAGATACTGGATGGATCATTTGGTTTTCCAGATAAAAAACAATTACCTGGATCTGATAAAGTATTACCTCACGTTATAGTAGGAGATGAAGCTTTTAGACTACACCCTAATATTATGAAACCATATACTCGACAATCTGCAAGACACGATAAATCAAAGGCAGTTTTT